GCTGTGGAAAATTGTGGAAGGGTGATAGGTTGCCAGTGGGCACCCCCCTGGCTGGCCCCCTGTCACCCAGCGGTCCCCAATGGAGCGTGGCTGCCCTGCCTGCAGCTAGGCCAGAATGGCGCGAAAACACGCCCAAAATAGCCGCTGCACAGCGAGAACTAGGAGGCCATGCGGCGATTGCCTCAGCAGGGAGACGATCGCGCGCTCCTCCGTGGCAGAGCTATGGAGCGAGGGCCTGGGAAGCGAAAAAACTGTGCAAGAAAATAAGAACAGGGACCACGAGGGAACGCTGGCTTGCTAGAGCCCTCTGCCACCGTGCCGTTTTAAAACGCGCGGCAAGCCTCCAAGACCGGCCTGAACAGATCGGCATAGGACGCCCTCCCCCCCGCAGCACGCTTACCTCCTGGCCTCCTGGAGGCTCGCTGTAAGAGTATTTAGAATGGTTAGAAGAGAGAAAGGAGAGATGAATTATAGAGATTTACTCAGAAGGAAAAGTTAGGAAGAAAGGAGAGTCCAAGCCAAAAAAGGAGTTAATTCAGCTGGAGCTTCCACAAAAAGCTTCCGAACGGGCCAAACTGAGGAAAATTTCTGGAGATAGGTCACGCCAGGAGGCGTGGCCAAGGAAAAGTCTTCCTCAGTTTCCAGGGCAACCAGACTGAAATAACCCACTGCTTGGACTCTCCAAGCGGTGCACAGGAGAAAGAACACTGCATGCAACTATCACCATAAATTTGTTACCTGGTCAGAGAAGGAAATAGAGCAACAGATGGGTGAGGATTTTCAGAGATAATCAAAGAGGAAGGCTTAGGAACCAGATATGTTTCTTTAGTAGGCATGATATCTAGATTACAACGGGGGGCCCTGCTGGAGCAAAAGGTTTGTTTCAAAGTTAATTATAATTTAAGTTCCTTAATAAGTACTGACTTGCCAAATATCATCCAGAGAGAACTAAGTATTGATGATTCATGTTATGTTCTAAGCAATAAATGTTGGGAAGCATGCTCATCCATTACGTATAAGCAATTAACTACATTTATTTTCACAATGGAGAGGTAAGTAGGCATGACTGAGGCAATCACTTCTTATTATCCATAAATGCACAGGGTAGGTATCTAAATTACTCAAAGACAAATAGACAGGATCACCTTGAGCACTCCCTAGTGACAGTCTGTCAACAAATATCATCTGCAAAAGACTGTTCAGTTTTGTGCCCCCCCTCCCCATTATGCCTCTTGGGTTTTCTACTTACCGTATTTTCACATCTATAAGAAGCCCCCATGTACAGAACACCCCACTTTTCTTACCCAAAATTCAGAAATTAATATTTTCAGCAATCGAAGTTTCTCTCTCGAGACTAGTTTGCAGAGATAATGTATCGGCAGTTTCTCAACCGTGATTCTCGTCTCATAAGACTGCCCCTACATTTTTAGGTAAATATTTTAAAGAAAAAGTATTGTCTTATACACAGAAAAATACGGTATGCCAACTGTTATTTTCGAATCACTTCCTTGTAATTCTCTGGTTGGTGCAATGAAAAAGGGAAGTATTTAATTCTAGACATGATTTTTATTTTCAACTTGGATTTTCATCACAGAGCAACATTTTTCATTTATACTACAGGCAGTCCTCGACTTACAACAGTTCATTTAGTGACCATTCAAAGTTACAATGGCAATGAAAAAAGTGACTTATGACCATTTTTCAGATTTACGACCTTTGCAGCATCCCTATGATGACGTGATCAACATTTCAGATGCTTTGCAATCGGTCCATACTTGGCAATCGGTACATACATGATTGCAATGTCCCAGGTCATGTGATCATCTTTTGCGACCTTTTGACAAGCAAAGTCAATGGGAAAGGGTGTTGGTACTTACCTGATACGCCTCTTCTCATAGTGGGGGGAGGAGTATCCAGAATGGGNAAAAAGTTCCCAAGTTTGGACACCCCTGGTCTAAATGAATGCTAGTCGTTCTTTGTGGCAGGATCAGGAATTCTGCTTTGTTTTTTCTCCCCCAAACAGGTGAATTCACAAGGCTGCACGTTTTCAGGAAGTGGCACGACATCCCCAGGAAGCAGGTGACCTACGGGGATGTTGGGCTCACCTACATGTACTCTGGTGTCACCTTTTCCCCCAAGCCCTGGATTCCAGTTCTGAATCGCCTCAGGGACCGCGTCCAGCTGGTCACCGGGCACACCTTCAACTTCGTTTTGATAAACAGGTAAATTCCCCCGGGGCGTTTCAGACAGCAGGAAGGCCTGACTTCTTCCTGGAACATGGAATTTGGGGGTGCCTCCAGCTGCCACACTGCACCTCCCGGCAGACAGGATCTTCCTTGTGCCTCTGCAGGTACAAAGATGGGCACGACCACATGGGAGAGCACAGGGATGACGAAAGGGAGCTGGTCCCCCGCAGCCCCATTGCCTCCTTGTCCTTCGGTGCCCGCAGGGACTTCATCTTCCGCCACGCGGCTTCTCGGGGCAAAAACCCCTCCCGACGAATCGCACCGGTCAAGTTGCAGTTGGATCACGGCAGTCTGCTAATGATGAACTTCCCCACCAACCACCACTGGTACCACAGCCTGCCCAGCCGCAAGAAAGTGCTGGCACCCAGAATCAATCTGACCTTTCGGAAAATCAGGACTCTTTAGCTCCCAGAAGCGGGGGAAGGGGGGGGAGAGAAGCATCTTTCCACCCTTTCCCTTTTGGGTGCCTGAAGCCCCCCCCCCCTATTTCTCACAGGCTGTGGCCTGGGTTTATAGCTCCCTTTTCTTGAAACCTATCTGGACACAAAAGTGGGCTTTTGTAATCACAGCCTCTGTTTGCACAACCTGATGCAGCCCCTGGGTTCTCTAACCAATTGGGTTGACTGAATAAACCGTTGGTTAATTATGGGGGGGGGGAGTGTGCTGCACAAACAGCAACTCTGGCTCAGTGCATGTTCAATCTGCTTGCTGCTTAAGGAGCTGGTCAAGATTCATGGTGCTTCTCTAAGCAGGAGGCATCACTGTCTTAATTCGAGTAAAGTGTCTCTACCAATGCAGGCCTCTTTCTGCCCAGGGAATCCCACAGCTTGGAGCTAAGGAGGGGCCTGAGTCTTCCCAGGGCTTATTTACGCCTTGTCCTACCCACTCCTTTCCATTTGAGCAAACCTGAGGCGACTGCAAGCAGCAGCATGCCTGAGGTCCACAAACTACTGTTTTGTGTCTTTTTAAATACCCTGAAATAAAGAAAAAGTGATCATTTGTTTCCTCTGGGAGAAAAGCTCTGTCTTTGTCATCGGTGTTGGGCTGATGACTTTAATGGGACACGGAAGTTAAGTCGATGGGATATTCATCACCTGGCTTTGATTCCACAGAAGCCGACACAGGAAGGTGAGAAAAGGATTTCTCTCGCACGCACAAAGACAGACGCTGGGTCCAAATACATTTGGAATCTTAGCAGCAATTTTATCATGTACAAAATATTTTAAATCGGCAAATTCTGGTGGCAGAGTTAGCAAGGTATAGGAAAGAGGGCTCCTCCTTTTGCTGAAGGAGAGCCTGGCAAGAAATCTGATGTAATTACAACAGACTCATCAGTACAAAGGTACCACCTTGCGTTCCGGGAAGCAGCTTCAGGCCCGGATCAGAAACGCAGGCCTTCCTCGGCCCCACTGGAATCCCAGAGCACCAGCCATACCTCAGTGGCCCTCCTGTCGCTAGTGAACATACGGTCAAGGCACTTAAAAAGACTTCCCACCTTTCCCTCCTGACGTGGTAGGTTGTTGTCTGACTGAATCTGCTACGGACGTGAAATGTTGTGAAAAGACTGGCAGTAAATCAATCACCACGAAGGAAGCGAAGGGAGAAGATCCTAAGAGGTCTCTACTTGAAATTCCTGGAACGGAAAGTATTGCGGAGCACATGAAGGTTTTTCTCGTACAGATGAAAATCACAGGAGCATCTTTGGGCCGGCTCCTGTCGAGAGGCACCCCCTGCATCCTGGGGTGTCCATGGCAAAAACCCCACGGTGTGTTCCTGCCCCAGAGAAGAGCAGCGACTACTCCGTGCACAGCCTGCTCTCCTCTGTCATTCCTTGGCTTGGAGTTCTCGGGTGGGAGGCTGCAGCCTGGAGCAGATGCGCTCGTAAAAGAGCAAGTAGGCGCTGGAAGCCAGGACCTCTTGCAAGCTGCTCTTGCGCACCACGTCATCGGAAACCCAGAGCCACTGGCTGCCGGCAGACGGCGGAGTCCGGGAAGACGATGGAGAACGGCGGAAGGTCACAAAGTGCCCTGAGTGCATGTCCCCATGGTGGACCACAACGGCCATTAAGCGGTACACGTAGATGGGGGAACTACCGGAGGGAAAAGAGAGGCAGAAGCTCAGCCCACAACCGTCCTCCCCTCTTACGCTTTGACCTCAGAAGGGAAGCAAGCGCCATGCGCCTCTTTCTACAGCGGCCTGCAATCTTGGCACAGCAGCCGCTGCTGCCTCCAGAACTGTTCTGGCGGGGTGGGATTTCACCCAAAGGCTCAACCAATACCCACGTGTTTCATAGACAGGCTCAGCAGCCCCTGGAAGATGCAGACAAATAGTATGTTGCAGGCTGCTCTGGTTCCTGAGGAAGTCACTTACCCACAGCCGGGAACAGCCATGTAAGGGAAGCCGATGGAGGGAGGCAGCCACGGAGTGCTGCAGGTGCCATTGCTGAGAACGGCTTTGCTGTTCCCTGCTTGTTCCCCGCCTGGTACAAACAAACGAAGAAGCAGATTCTTGATGTCTGAGGGCTCCCAATATAGGTGAGCAGGCAGGGCTCGTCTCCATGAGTTCCTACCTTGCCCGGGCTTTGGCTCTGCCCGCAGACCCTCCCTGGGGCTGGGCTTATGGGTGGGGAAGTGCTGCTTGTACAGGTCCATGATGAGGAACTCGCTGAACTGCACGTGCTCGTTCCGCTTCAAGGGCAAGCCCTGGCTGGACCAACTCAACCGTTGCAGGTGGATGCAGAGACACTGAGGGAGCTAGAAGACCGAGAGGGAAAAGGGGCTGTGGGTGGCAGGACAAGGCGTTCCCATCTTCCAATGTAGCTGAAGCACAAGCCCAAAGTTCTCCCAAAGGGGAACCCCTGGCTGGCTCTTGCGACATTCTTGGGCCCAAACAGAACCGGTGTCAAATTTCTCAGTGGCTTAAGAAGTCAGCCTGTGACACTGGTTCGTCCTCTGCAAGCTACAGGTGGAAGGAAACCCCTCACAAAGGAAAACCAACTTGAGTTGGGAAAGCTAGCCTCTCAGGGACAAACGAGAGCTTCACTCTTCACAAAGGACCTGAACCCGAGTCTTCTCGATCTGCCACAGGAAATCCTACCCCTAATTAGCATTCTCCACATCTTCTAACGTTTGCTGACATGGAGCGGGGCAGAGAAGGGAGTATTTCCTCTGCAGAGTTTGTCATATACAAACTGCAGCAAGAGAAGGAGAGGGTCCTTTGCCACTCCAAGTAAACCCACGACAATCCCACCCCACCCCCCAATTCTTACCTTTCCTAACTTCAGCTGCTTAACAAAAGTCGTTCTGTGGTGCTCCGTAATTATGAGGCCCTTCGTCCCTTCAGCCTGAATCTTGAGGAAGAGGACAAAGCAAAGAATTTCCAAGGGGGTCTGGTGAGTCCATGACACGACTCACAAAGACACAAAGACTTTTACACCTGTGTGCAAATTGGTGTGTGAAATACAGATCACTGCCACACGACCTACTTTGGTACAGTTGTCACACACGACACCCTTGACCGACTCGGAGGAGATGAAGTGGCGAAGACAGTGGTCCAGCGTCAAGGGATGGCCCTGCGGACAACGGGACGAAGTCAACCAAAGGTCAGGAGCCCGGGAGATTCTCAAAGCATTGCTGTGGGCCTCCAAGGAAACGGACTTACCCACACGGTGGCCGGGATGCTCAAGGAAAGGCTGTCAAAGGTATCGTATCTGAGGGGACTCTGGAAGAGAAAAGAGCCCTGGATCCCACCAGAACATCTTCCCGCCTCCCAGCAGACAGGCAAGGATGGGGAAGCCCCTCCGTTGCCCACGTTGGACAGTTTCACGGCAACTCCTCCATTCTGGTGGATCCCAGATCACACATTTCTATACAGTGGATCCAAAAAGCTGTGCTGCTTTTTCTTACGTACCTGTTGCTTGCAGCGCTTGCAAACCATGTGACTGGTCAGTCTCCCATGGAAAGGATGCTGCCTTTTCCAGCGATTCGGCACAGGATAAAGCAGACCTACGAAATACCACAACTCATTTGCCATGATGGGTTGTGTAAATCAGGCTGCCAACCCTGTTAAAGCTTTTTTATTTTTTTTACCTTTTGTACGGCAGCATATTTGTTCTTGAGGTATTTCCGGCTCCTAGGTAGGAAAAACAAATACAGTGTCCTATGAAAATAAGCCAGAAATATCAAGGCTTTTCATTGTTGGAATCACTTGTCTTGGGAGGTTTAAACACTAAAGAAAGATAAAATGCATCCCTGCCCAGCCCCTATGTAGGCTACTGAAAAATAAATCCCCAAACGTTCAAGATGGCAAACTCCCAGGCAGGTAGAGGACAGGTGACTGGCCTAAACTGTATTTTGGTTTCTGTTGTAATTCTAGTTGTGCACCTCAGCTATTCTTTCACTCACCTCCAGTGAATGCACATCAAATAAATGTGGAATCTGGCTCTGGCCGTCTCGCTCTTCTTCCAGTGAAGAAGTAAGAACATGGAACAGTTCGTGAGCGTCCTGGCAAAGGATAAAACGAGAGGGGACTTTAAAATGCCAGGTCAACAGCAGCAGGAAAGGTGACTGCAGTGAACAGGGAGGAGACAATTCTTGCTCCTGTTTTTAATATGCCCAACACCACAGACCAGACTGTCAACGTGTGGATACCGAGAAGCCTTACTTCTTTCCGGTCACTACCTGTTCTTCAAAAGAAGAGATCTGCCAGCGGTACAGCCTTAAAACTTCCAACAAGCAGCTTGCATCCAGGAGGTCGTCCTCCGTTGCCACTTGGCAGGATAAAGCTGAAAGCAATAAACGACCCAGAGAGTTAATGCGGACACTCTCAGAAAAGCAAACTTATTTCCCTCCCAGTCCTGGAGCCTCTGATTCTAAAAAAAAAAATGCTTTACATTCATGTGCTTTGGAACAGTCTACAGAGTGGGAAATCCTGTCACCAACGCTGTCAGAACACACTTGCCTGCCCTAACATTGTCAAATGGCAGGATTTGCATTTTGTTTTCTACAAAAACTTCTGATGAAACGTGTCCTCTTGCCATGCCAATATTCACAGCATCATTTCTAGAACTGTGTTCTACCACTACATCGCCGCTTCCTCCTTCGTTATCATAAAAGGCGCTGCCTCTTGTTTGCTAGGTGATCCAATGAACAGAACAAGGAGTCAAAGGTTAAAACACGGGACTTCAGAAAAACACACACACATACACACCCTAGAGGTCTTGCAAAGGGGATCCCTACCTTTCAGCAAGCGAAGCAAGGTCAGCGAGAGGGACCGCTGGCCGGCCTTCTTGCTTTGGCCAGCCTGTGAGTCCTGACCTGCGAATCCTTCCAGCCACTGAATGAGAGACGGACAGGCCGACAGCCCTTGGAGAAGGGAGTTCATGAAGCACGTGTTGCCCAGATTGAGCAGCCCAGGAACCAGCCCTGTTGCGGAGAAAAAATATGACGGGGTTAGCCTTGTGGAGCTCAACCTGCTTCCCTTCTTATTCCAACAGAAGAGACTCGCTGGAGCTCGGATGCTGCCCTGCAGCCATTTCAATCCCTAACTGGGCAAAGTCCCAGGGGAAGACCCCAGAGGTTGCGGGTGCCATCCCGGGTGGGCACCCCTCCTGCTCACCTTTCCTGCGCCGCCTCCTCTCCGCCATGGGGCCCCAGAGGACGTAGAGCCCGGCGGCCAAGACGGCAGCCACCCCACCGATGACCCCCCAGTTCCTCATCGCCCTGGACCTACGAGGGAAGGAAGGAGGCGTGACGGGAGCCCCTCCTGGTGGGAGGGCGAGCAGCCTCCCACTCGAAGCCTTCCGAGGCGGCGCGCCTTCTGGGAGTTGTAGTCCCTTCCCCTGGGGAAGGCTGCCCATTCCCACCCAGCCCGCAGGGACCCGCTGGCCGCAGAGGGTCATCCCGCCGGCCGCCTCCCTCCATTTCCCCCGCAGGCGCCCGCGGGGGACCCGCTCCGCTCGCAGCCGGACCTGGCCCAGCCCCCGGCCCGAAGAAGCCTCCGCAGCACCGCCGTCGCCCGCTCCGTTTCCAGCCGGCCGAAGCGGCTCAGCACCATCCCCGGCCTGGCTGCGCTCCGCGGACGGAACTGAAGACGCGGGTCCGGGTCGCCGGGGAAGACTTTCCGGCAGGAACGGAAGCCGCCGGGTCCACCTCCTTCCCGAGGGTCTCGTAGCAACGGGGTCTCCCCGCCCCCTCTGTTGCTACTCTCAATGGATCCCGTGCTGCCCCGGGTGCCGCGAAAAGTAGGTTCCGCTCTGCCGAAACAAAGGTTCCGGGGGGCAGTTTCCATAAAAGGTAATAGGAGGAGGACATCTTTTTCCCCGTGAGAAGACAGAGAGAGAGAGAGAGAGAGAGAGAGAGAGCAAAAACATCAGGATCAACCTTTTTTTTTATTGCACCAAAGCAATTTTAAAGCATTGGCTTTAAAGAGGGTAGATTCAGTTCTACACGGGAGTAAGCCCTCTTGAGTCCAGAGGGAACTAAGCATCAGGCAATAAAGCTGCACTATTAATCGTTCATCCCAAACACCAACAATTTAAATACATTTAAGGGGGTCGAAGCAAAATATTAAACAGCGTGTGAGAAATGAAGGAAAGCAGTTCTGAGACATTTCAATCTCTAATATATTTAGAATTTAAGGCAACCTTGTCAATTCGCAGACAAAACTTGCAATGAGCTGGGGCAATCCAAGGAGAGGAGAAAAAAGAAGCGGACATGTCCAAAATCCTGGTCAAGACCGTGGTTGCTTCAGGCTCCCTGTGTGCATTATCTAGTTCCACCTTGACCTCCAACGGTGGCTTTCCTGATTCCCTGTGCCTGAAGGCCGCTCAGCCCAAGCAAGAGCGAACACACCCAAAAGTGGAGTTGGGAAGTTATCCAAGCCAACTTCTTTGAGACAGATCTAGTGCCTTCAAGCCTCCCAATGTGGCAGAAGGCAGCCTTCTTCACTTTCTGTCTTCCAGATAAGGGAGAGCAACTTCCAGAAACACCACACACACACACACACACACCCCTGAGAAGCATAAGACTGGGGAGGGGGCCATCAAGCTTTGCATTCTGAGGCAGGTGCATTAATTTCAGATTGAGGATATTACCCATGAGACTGTGGTATCATAATTGCGTCCATTGTTTACTCCAAGCTATGGCAAACCACACTTACTCTGGTCTAACTGGAGGTTCTGGTGCTTCTTTTCCTGATAGGAAACTCAAGGTCTTGTCTGACCCTCCTGGAAAGATCCTTCTATTTGCTGTTCCCCGCATTACATGAATTCATCTTTTTGAACTGAGTTTAGCTCCTTCTAAAATTCTTTTATTGCAATTCTGTCCATCTCAACCACTCCACCTGCAACAGCCAGCCTTGGAAGGCTACCAGAGGGGCAAGTGAAGAGGCAAAAGATGGGAGCTTCCTCCACTGCTCAGCTGCTCCTGGAAAGCAGAGATGCATGGCTTAAATTCCCAGCTCTGGACCCAAGAATCCCTTCCAGCCCAGCAAGAAATCTCTTCTTAGTCATCTCTTGCAGCAAACCCCTACAGCTGTAGGAGGAGCTTTAGAGAGCTGGGTCCATCGTGTGGATCTCTTTCACCCCACCGGGGCACCAGTATTAGATTGGGGTGGTTTTCCTCTGATAATCCCTGCCTGATGGAAGATTGCCCTGCAGCCAGCGAAGCGAACTGAAAGCAGGCAGCAAGGAAAAGGGGAGGATTTCAAGGCTGCCCCCCTCCCTCCCCCGCTGCTGCTGCTGGTACAGAACTCGCCGCCTCCTCCTCCTGGATTTGCATCGCGCGCAGGCTGGCTGGTTGCAACGGGAGCTGTCCTACTAGGCAAGCTCCTGAAATCACCTGCTTCTCCCCACCATGTAAGAGCGATGAGACCTCCAGCCACACCTTTGCAATGGAGGAAGATTTGTTCCAGTTAAGGCAGCTGCCGTAAGTAGCCCGGGGTGGGGGGAGCGCCCCACTTCCTTGAGGGGTTTTTGCAAAGAGCCCTGCTGTGCCTTGCACCGAATTCCTTGCTTGCAAGGTCCCCTTCCCGCCCCCCACAGCTGGGACCCTCCGGAGGCCTGGGACTGGAGCGCTCCGGTCTTCCCAGCCATCGCTGACGGGTGAGAGTTGTAGACCCCCCCAAGTGGAGGGTCCTTGCAGGGGGAACCCTGCCCAAAACGTCATTTGCTTTCTCCCAGGATCAACACTTTCGCCTTTTGTAGGAGATGTTAATTTTCTGAAAGGGAATTTTAAGAATTTCGACCCAGCCAAAATGTTTGCGATCATGGAAACTGAAGATCTTAGATTCCTGACATGTTTTTCCTTCCCGAATGCTGCAAGAATGGGGGTGGCTAGGAATTCCTCTGCTTTTTCCTGCAACTACAGGTTTTGCAGAGAGATCCGAGGAGCAGGAGGAAGGGCTTTGAAAGATTTGGGAGAATATGCGTGGCATTGCTAGGCAGAAAGGTTGGGGGGGGGAGGTTGAGGCTCCCACCTCAGATACGTGTGGTGGGCAGAGACCCCG